GCTTGGAGACATGGTTTAGTGGTGGACTTGGCAGTGTTAGGTTTATGATTGAACTCAATCATATTAGAGGTCTTTTCCAACCTAAATGATTCTATGATTCTATGATTCTCCAATGCTTTATTCACAGGACTACTCATTCCCTATTAATAATTTAGTTAACAGTGACCAAGGGAAGCACCATTCCCTTAGATCCTTAAGGACAAAACAAGGAGAATATTTTTATATTACAGAAGACAGTGGGGACTGTTCTTGATTAAGCACAATGACAACATCACTGCTGCCTCCTAAAGCTGCAAGTCTACAGCCTGTGAACCTTTTAAATACCACTTAAGCTTTCCAAGTAGGACATGAGGACGGACATAAATGGTGCATCATTTAGAGGTAGCCCACCACACAGAGGTCAATTCCACCCTCAGGGCCCATCTAATGCTCTTTGATGTCACTGGGAGCTTTTCAGTTGATTACACTGGAAACCAGCTCAGGTCCTTAAATTGTGGTTTCCAGTTCCTTTCTTTATTGACAAGAGTAACAGTTTCCTGGTACGGTGCATCTCTGAGTCAATAGATGCCCCTGGAAGAAGGAAAAGCAAGGTATTTCCTTAACAAAGGGTTCAATGAGATGATCTAGTTGTGGCTTTCATAAAATAGCTTGCAGAAAATAAGAATCTTCAACATAGTGGCAACTGCCAAATCCTACCCAGAGATTTGCTGTGACTTTCACTGATCTCATAGGCATTTATTGGAAGGCACAGATATACAAAACAGGAGAGATTAAGGAATACACATCTTTTCCAATGTTTTTTGACAGAGCAGGGAGAATGGGCCACTTGAAACAGTTTTGGTGTGAAACATAGGAAGAGCCATGCAGTGTCTTGGGAAGTGGATCAACTACTTCACTGTTTTGCTTCTGCCTACAGCCATTAGCAACTGCTTTGGATGAAGACACAAATGACCATGCAATGGGTAGCACAGTGAAAGTCCTTTCCCCAAAACATGTAATTAGGGGCTGACTCAAGCCATTTAGCACAAAGGTTTAAGAATTTTTCCAAGCCCTGTTTGCAGGAAACATAATCAAAACCTACACAAAGTACGCTCAGAAGCGGACTGAAAAAAATATGAGTAGGCTGTCTTTAATATTAATGTTTCCTAGCTTTTGACTCTGGTTTTGCAGCCCTGAAGTTTCACAGCTTCAAGGGAGAAGAAACTTCTGCTTGGTCCGGGGTCCTGCGTCTGCTTGCAGATTTGTTTGTCTCTTCTACATACGTGTTCCTACTCTATACCTGTAACTCAATCTTCCCACATCTTCCTTTCCCATTTTTTTTTTCTTTCTCTCTGGACATCAGCAGGGGACACCCTGAAAGCCCAGGACCTCTGTTCTCAAGGACCACGCCAAGTACTGCAGCAACCCATGGTTACTCTGAACATCCCATCTCAAAAGAAATTCCCGGCATCTTTGGGTTGAAGCATCTTTCAAGCATGCAAAATTTTCACAGCATTCAGATGCAACAAACCTCTACAGAGCAAGTGTAAGCTTTTTTTTTCCCCCTAAATCTCATACTGTTAGTACTCGATACATTTTTACACGCATGAAGAAACTCCTGCCCATAATCTTTTTACAGGACAGGTATAGTCCTGTAAACATATACATATATGCCCTGCAGAGCTGAGAAGTGAAGGTGCAGTATGTGAGGATATGAAACAGAGAGAAGAGAAGAGAATAAGGGGGAAGATGTTGTTAAAATGATAACTTTCAGACAGAAGGGGAATCTAGTTTGTGAAATCACAGCTCAAGGATGTGGCAAAAAGCTGCAGTTGACAAAGGCCATAAGTATATTCATCAAACACAGACTGAAACATTTTTACAAGGAAAAGAAGAAGTGCTCCTAGGCATACCATTTATATGTCAAGTTTCAGTCTAGAACAGATATTTTTGCTGAGATGCACATCTTTCTAAAAAAAGGTTTTATAAAGGAAATGCTGACTGCTCTGTAACTGTAGCATCACATATGTGAGCCTTGAAACACAGGAGTGAGAAATTTCCCCATTCAGAGATATATCTGCAAACCTGTAGTCTCCTCAGTTTAAAAGAACAACACTCTGGGGTGTGATGCTTGGAGCATGAAGTCCTCGGAGGGTGAAATGTTGCTTTATAGAAACAACAGAACGCTCCTTTGAGGAAAAAAAAGTCCTTCCACACTTGAGGAGAAAAGCAAACAGATTCAAAGGAGACTTCCTTACACGGTCCTTACAGAATATACTCATTTATGTAATAGAGGGAGATGATGACTAAGGGATGAAAATCATAAACTTTAGGTCACTGAGCTCAAGGGATATACCTTCAGAGAAATACAAACTGGAGTTGTTTTTCTCCCATTAAGACATTCATATAATAGCAAGCAACCACTTCCAGCAAACCACAGTTCGAGCCTTAAAACAGGGCTACATTTCGTTATATATATATATACTTTCTTCAGACAATAACTCACAGGTATGCCACAGTCTTAGTGTTCAGACGTACAATACTGAGAAGTCACTAATGACTCCAGCAATGACACAAAATGACTTTGATCAGCTGCATCGCTATATAAAACACCATAGCATGCCATTGAATGGAAATCAGACACAACAGAAGAGCTATTATATGAGATACAGTACTCCAGCATTCATCTCTTCAAACAGAAAAAGTTCAAAGAAAATCAACATCAGAAAATGAATAACAGAATGAATTCCACCACTGGAAAAAAAAGGGGGGAAAAAAAAAAGAAGAGAGAAATTGCCAGAGGCTACATGATATCATATCAATACCCTTCAAAACAGCATTCCATCGCCTGGAATTATAACATGTTCTCCTTCCACCCACAGCGCGCTGCGTCAGGAGTGTGTCACAGTGAAAACCATAAACCAAAGCCCTGAAAATCCGAGGGTTTGAGAAGCTAATGCCACTGCTGGCTGCCAGAATGGCATGACTAAACTCATACAGCTCGTTTTTCGAGGTGGTGGGACTGCTGAAGTCTGATGCATGCGAGAGGTCCTTGTGGGATGGCTGCAGCTCTGGAGGATGAACCTCGAGAGATAAAAGCACAAGTTGTTGCAGCCTGAGCTAAAGCTTTCGAGCTGGGGCTGGAAGAGACTTGTATCCGCCAGGGAGTCAGACATTGAGGGGCTTGTAACATACCAACACTAGAAGTCACTTTAACATGAGGGACCCACCTCTGTTGCAAGTGAAATTCATCCTTGTGCAAAGAAGTCTACAAACTCCTGAAGTTTCACCAACACTTTCAGAACAGGGCAAAAATGGAATAACTTAGTACACAACCCCAATTTCCAAGCCCTCCAAAAAGCACCTTCTAAATGTGAAGCAGACACCAAGCAGCGACACAAAAACTTGGGTTTTAATATGGGCATTTTGCTAATAGAGGTGTTTTCTAGCTTTTCAAACTTTCCTGAGTCCAGCTCATGAGGCAGCCCTAGTGGTGCAATTTTGCTTATTTTGTTAAATAAGCAAATTGAAGCTTTCATTAGCTAAGATTAGGCAGTGCCTTAGCTCTTCAGTGAACTCTGGGAATCCACGGTCATTCAGAGATTTCAACAGAGTGTCAGGCCTGGACCAAAGTCTTCCCCTGCACTTCTTCATGCTAGAAATGAGCACTAAACAGCTCTTATTTGTTTTTATAAGACTTTAAAACTGTTCTTTGGGGGCTGAAAGGACTTACCCAGTAATGCACAGCACACCAGAAGTAGGCCCATGGCTTGGCTTTCAACCTGAAAATCATTATGGGTGGCTCCCAGAAGAGAATTGTAAGTAACTAAAAGACAGTGGAGAGTGAGACACAGCTGCATCTTCCCAGGAGTGAATCACAAAAACGTATTTTTGTGTGTACAGCAGCACAAAGTTTGGGTAGTTTGCAGAATATTTGTTCTCATGAGAACAAACTCTCGCTTTTCTGTAGCCATCTGGAGTCATTCTGAGTTTAGCAGGATATGCACAAGCCAGTGCAAATGGAAGGGAAACATCCATAAAATGCCACGATTAAACATATATTTTAAAATTGTCAATTTCATTTTAGATTTTGGACCCAAGAAAGGGGTTGAATTTCTTGCAACTGGAAACTCATATATACACTTGTGGCAGCAAAGCAAGGTACGACAAATGGACTGAAAATTCATCTTGCCTAACTACATTTCATTTGAGCAACATATCCAGTGCCCTTATCACACCAATGATGACTATGACTCCAATTTAAGACCTTCACTCTGTTGACTCCCACTGCCAATAAGTGTTTCAACACCTCCAAGCCAGCAAGAATGAAGAGGGAGAGTAAAAAGAAAGTAAAGGGAATATGATCAGAAAAGGCAAGCATGCAATAGAGCAGTTCTCTCTCAAAATAGATTGGGTGATAGACAGTTTGTGTTCATGTTTATGTTCATGTTCTTGGGCTAAAATTGAAGGATAATTCCAGAAAGGCATTGGAGAGATGAATAGTTTCTGCTCACCAACTAAACACACATATCTACTCTAGTGATAGGAGCTAAGAGATTTTTGTCACTGATAGGAAGAAGACAGTCACAGAGTATGGCTCTCCACTGGTCCAAGCAGGTAGTGCATTTTCTATCTTTTGCCTCTTTCCTTTTCAACCATTAAGTATTTTGTTGTGGTTTTGCTGTTCAGTAAAGCTCCTCTGAAGCGCAGAGACAGTTTTATTGTATGCTGTGAAGCACCCTGCTCTAAGCAGCCGAACACGGTGATTCAGAACTGGGAACTCGCAGGGTCTCACCCTGCTCAGGCAACAACTTGCTTTTGGGTTTGGGGCAACATTTATTGTCCTGGGCCCTCAATTTCTCATAGGCGGAGAATATTCCTGTCCATGGTAAAACACAGATCATGTCTAATAGTCCAACCCTTATCTTGCTGCCTCCCAGCCAGTAGGCACCAGTATGCTAGAAAGAATCCCTATACCACATCCTTCGGCACAGTGCAGACATTCCCCAGTTAATCTGACCAAACCATCACTGCTCTAAATTCGGGAGATGTTAGCTCTGACCCCAAAGGCTGTGCGGTCATGCTGCACAGCGCCAGGCCTGAGCTAACGATCTTTGCCTCTCAGGAGAGCTAATTAGTTCTGGTATACCAGCATGCTGATGCAGCGGTATTGTTTCCAGTCCTAGAACTAGATCAGTTGGGCTGGGCTGTGAGCAGCAATGTGCAATGCTTCAGACACAGCTTAGTCATGAAGGGCCTTGTGGTATGTGACAAAGGCCATGGTCAATATCTCACATGGCAGCTAAAATAAGTTATTTTATTGAGAGGATTACACTCACCTTTACAGGAAGCACAGAGAAGTTTTATTCATAGGTGAGTTTGCAATGCACCAAAGGACCATCGCAACCTCAGCATCCAGCCTCCACTCTCTTAATCTAATCTAAAAAACAGAACTCCAAATCCTTAACCAAACTTTTTTTTCTTTAATTTACTTCTTACTTTCTGGTTCTGTGTCAATTGTGATTTACCTCCAGTGACCACCTGAGCACACCCTACATAATTAACTCACTGTCAGTGCAGAGGCCTTAGCTACCAGTGCCACCCTTGTGCCTCTTCATATCTGCACCTGACATATGGCTTTGAAGACTGAAATGATTTGGTCTTTTGACAATCATGGAATGATATTGGTGAATTGGTTATAATGTGATACACAAGAAATTGAAACAGATGATCTGGAGTTGTCTCTGGCCTTGTTCTTGGAGAGCTATGAAGGACAAAATACACAATGGCATGCAAAATCCAACGATGGCAAGAGGATCCAAAAGAGAGCAAAGCACATGAGAAATGCCCCACTGTTTAATGCCTGCATAAGGGGTCAGATATAACGGAGGTGAGAGTGGAGCAGGAAACAGGGAGCACAGGACAGAAAGGACACTTTCTGTGTTTCTGAATGACAAGCAGGCACATGTTCAACAAGAAGAACCAGTGGCGTGGCTGGAGTAATGTTGTTGGAAGAGGAAAGCAAGTCAAGCATTTTGGGTGCTGCGTTTGGACTTTGGAGTTTGAGGGTCAACCCCCTGTTCTGGTACTGCTTCCCACTGGCAAGGTCTTTACATGGATGTTAGCGTGGCATATACTGTCAAGGGAAATAGATGTAGACCTTCACATCATGGATCAGAGGACATATATTAACTGCAAGCTAGGTTCATACCTCAGGTGCTGCTGAACATGCTCTGGAGAACTGAGGTTCAGGCCTCAATTTATGGCACCTGAACTGAGCTGTCTGATTGGAGCTAAGTGTCTAAGCTCCCACCACAATAAATTCATTTAGACATGTAGTACTATCTGAAATGCCCTTGGATATTTGAGATCTCACACAGGACTGGCAAATATGACATAGGGGACACCTGTGACCATCTAGGGTTTCACCTGGCTAGGCAGGGTGCTCCTGGAGTGCTTCAGACAACACTAGATACCTTCATAGAAGCAAATGACTTGAGCCCTGGAGCTCTGCGTAATACCATCAGTGAAGAACAACTCAATTCACATTAGATACCCACATTTGGTCAGCTCGGTAACTCTTCCAGCTCTACTAACTGTAATGACGAGGAACCGGTTAAGATGCCTAAACACATGTGCTTACATATATATTATATATATATTACTTTTAATGACACAGGACAGAGAAGTCTTAACCATGACTGAGGGTCCACGCCCAAATGCCAACACAAAGCAACAGAAGCTTCCTTCCACAAAGACTTCATAAGCCAAAACCAGGTGGAAGAAGAAGAGACATGGAGCAGTGTTATCCCCATTTCCAGAAGTGAAGCTGCGGTAGGCAGAGAGACTTATCTGGTTTCAAACAAACGAGGAGAAGCCAGCACCAGGACCCTGAGTATTTCAGATACATACCACACAGTATTCATAGTGTGATACAATAATTATGTCTGTGACCTCAGGAGATCATCTAGTCCAACTTCCTGATCAGAGCAGGGTCAGCTATTAGGTAAAAAGGTTATCACAAGTTTTGTCCCCCAGATTTCATGCAAAAATTCTAAATATTTTTGCTAGAATTCAGAAGGTTGTTCATGCAATAAGGTTGTAAACTGAGCTGGGATTCAAATGTAACTCAAGTCTGAGGTTGAAATACAGGCATAGGCTAAAACATCTAAGAAGCATCCATGGCAAATGGATTGAGAGATTATCAATGATAGTGGGAATTGCAACAGGAAAATAACATGGAAGGTGGTATAATTGTGGAAATGTAAATATGCTGCCTGCACAAAACACAAAGAGGTGGGTCAAGAGATGAGCTCTTTGTGAGCTGTGATTTTGGGTCTTGCAAATTTTGTCCTCTGGAAATAAGGTCCCTGCATATAATTAAGCTTGAGTATCGGTATGAGTAAGTAAGTGTGCGTGTGTTTGTGTATATGTGTAAATGGAAAAGAATGATTATTCTGTTCCAAAAATCACACTTTTGTGCTGTAGTCAAGATCTCAATGTGACGAGGAATAAATGTGGTGTTCTGCACACACTAGAATGGACACTAGTGCCAAGGAGCCCACGTTGCAATGCAAATACATATCCTAATGTAAACAGACCCCAGCACCCCTACAGAAATTAAACACCTTTCCTTCTTTCCTTCCTTACTAGGTAAGATGATGACGTCTTCCCCAGGGCCTGGGATGCTGCAGTTGGATCCACCCCAGCCTTTTTCTACATCATTCCATGTCTCTGGGTGCGACCATTTCAAGACAGCATCAGAAGGAACTATAACACAGGACATACAAAGGCAGAATTATCATTTTCAGTAGCTGGGAGAATTACCATTTCTTTGATAGTCAAGCATCTGTAGCATTAACATCCTCCTTTTGTCACTGATGAAGCAACACTAACTGCTCTTTGTTATCTTCCATGCTTAAAGGAAGCTGCCCAATGGGAAAAAAAGATCTCTCCCAGGACCATGTTTTCAAAGTTAAAGGGCAGGGACATAACTGAAAAAACAGATTCAAATTCTTTGGGACCCATCAAAAGCAAAGAAAATCTTGAGGTTTGTCGTACTTAGCTTGTGATATGCCTTGTGAATATGCTTCACAAGCAACTGCTTCATTATTTTTATTCATGCCATCCAAAGTTCTGAGCACAAAATTAAGATGAACAAATGAAAATAAAAGCCAGTCACCTGTGCTTGGATCAAAATGGTAACTAACTCTACTAGAAAGTGCTAACTCTTCTCATCTATTTTTTTTCCCCCAGTGCTCTAGAAAGCAGATTGAATTCCCAGGGTATGGGAATTTCCATACTTTCCCAAAGTATGAAAGATTTTAAAAAATGAGTGATCAACTCTCAGAAGCCTGTTAGCTCTCAGAAAAGCAGGAGTCTTCCCATTGAAAGGGGTAATGAAGACCTGCCTTGGAAAACCAGCTTGACTGAGACACGTGGCAGCTCCTGCTCATTCCCCAAAGATTTACTTTTCAGGCCAATCCAAAAGGAAACTTCTGAGCCTTAGCATTAGGAAAATATTGGGAGAAATTAAGTTCACAAAATGTAGGTGCTTAACTTGCACTTGTATTTTAGACAGGTAATGAGCCAGTCTTCATAAATTAATTGCCTGAGTTTGCTCTGCCATCAAGAGAGGAAGGAAAGCCTCCAGGGGGAAATCCTGTACACTGAGTTTAGCAAGCCCTAAGCTAACACAGGCAGGGCCTCCCTCTGGAGGCCTCTACAAGCACCTACCTCTGTCCTACCACTCTAAAGGAAATTCTGGCTTTTTTTTTTCTTGATGAGGGCTTCATTATGTATTGAAAATACAGAGGCAAGCTCATGCCTAAGTGGGGGGGGCTAGACCCCACTCAGCAACATTGTGGAGTAGAAAAACCCTCCCTTGCCAGCACAGGGAAACACAGAGAAATTAAACCCAGGTGGAGCTCCTTAAGGCTGGGTCTGTCTTTCCGTCACTTGTTTGTTTGTTCAGGGGAAACACTCTGCAAAAAGCTCTCTAAACCTTATTGCTACGTAAATGATTATTGTTGTTAATACACAGCAAGGCAGCTATGCAACTAAAACCAAACTTTGGGGGTCTCCCTTGTCTCTGGTGTATTTTTCTGTCTGATTCGACCTGTAACTGTGCTGTAATGTCAGACTATTACACTAAGATCACTATGGAGCACTAAAATACATTGTAGTCTTACATTCTCTGTGACCTTTCTGATCTGCTATGGTATTTCTTAACAGAAGTTTATAGTCTTTTATGCTGTGGAATCACACATTTATCATCAGCAATGGTAGATATGGTTCAATGAAATGCTTAAATGAATGCCAAGAACCCCTGTTGCGTTGATAGATGTACAAAATATTGAAGTGGAAAATAGCAATCTATTTCTGAAAAAGTAAAGAAGTAAAAAGAAATGGTGTGACTCCCAGACCAAGCCTTTCAGACACAGACTGTCACTCACCTGGGGTAGGTAAAGCCACTCTTTC